ATATATAAACTTAAATACTATATAAAAGTGAAACAATACTGATTTACTGATTAGTCTGTGTGAAAGACAGCTACATAATAAAATTCTATTAGGTTTATGTGGAAATCAATGTAATTACGTGTCAGACAGTTAACAGAGTTTCAGATTGGGGTCCCATCATAGGGAATCAAACTGTCCTTGTTCTTTTGAGGAAACAAGGACGATTTTGTAGTATTCAACTTACCTGTGAAGTGGCAATAAAGCTGAGAGTCAGAGCCTGTAGTTCGGTCTCATTTCTTCTTGGAACTGATTTAGTCGGTTTACACCATTTCACATGTAGCTGCTCATCTGAAACATACACTCCATTCCAGTCTGTGTTCTGACAGGCAACATAATCACCATCAAGGAGCACAAGAATGATCCACACAAAAGGTGGAATCAGGCAAAGAAAGAAATCTCTCCATTTTACACATTTTTGGAAACATTGTTTAAAATTTGGACATTTACAGGAGCATTCTTTGGAATTTGGACAATTAGAGGACGATTCTTTGAAATTTGGAAATTTGAAAATGTTTTTAAAAGAACATCGATCAGTGTGTTTAACTGGCCGTAAAGCAAGACATGTTAAAGCTAAAACAAAAAAAAAAGGTGCAGCAAAGATGAGGCTTGATACGGTTGCATTCAGCTCAGCTTTGCACGGGCATGAAAAATCTTTATCAATCAGAGCTTCCAATGGAATCAACAAAATGCTCAATGGAAGAGAGGTGGAAAGAGCCTTTTTCTCCAGCTCGCTTTTAAATGGTTCAAACAGTTTTTTTGTTGAAGACATCTTACAGCACACAACAGGTAAATGTGATGATATTGTGATATCTTCTTTGTTTAATGTCTCAGGAAATGCTCATAATCTGGCATCAGATGCTCAGGAAATGTTTAAAGTTGGAGAGGTCTCCTACAATGAACAGAATAACAATTATTTATTTACATTTTTTTTTTTCACAAGAACTCGGCCTATGCATGTCTGTATATATTTGCAAATATAAATTACAATTAAGTAACAAAAAAAATATTTCATAATAATTAAAACGGACAACTATTAACAATAATAAACAAAACTAACAATTACCAATACAGCAACAATCTGTTAACTTTCCAAGTTAGATTAGGAAAAAAAAACACCCGTCTTTGCAGGAAACACATTGTCATTTTAATATTTACTAGTTTACATTCTTACAATGCATTATAGCCTTTTACCTTTTAAAAAATGGAGACAGATATTGGAGTTTGGTCTCATTTCCTCTGTTTTATAAGTCACTGTGAACATACAATAGCATCATGAGAATCAAGAATGAAAGGAAATGTTGCTTTATAAAGTGGCAGAGCTCGTGACTGAAATAAAAATTGGTTTCACTTCATGAACACTTCGTGATTGCAATGTCAGCATTTTTGTAATCTGTGTGGCATCTTGGTTCATGATTCTAATAATCTTGTTTAATTTCTCAACAACAAAAAAAACTATTCACACTTATCATGCAATGCTAAAATGTTACTATTTGTGTTATGGTACAGTATTGTTATTTTTAAGCAAGTTTACAAATATTAAGCACACTGCATAGTGGAAAGTACAAAAATACAAATTGTGTATGATTTAACTCGCGGAGAAACTGGGCATCAGTTGTTCTTTCACTTTCTGTGCTGTGTTGTTGATAACTCAGCATATAATGCCAACAAGTCACATGCATGGTGTGGCCATATGGCAACATGGTCTTTGTGTTCATTTCCTTGCCACTGTCTCTTTAAGAGAACATTCTCGTTTTTTTTGTTGGAAAGAGAAGACCTTAGTTTAGCCAATGATGTGCTATTTCCGACGAGTGCTTGCGGTGTTCGGCCAATCACAATGCACTGGGTCAGCTGGCCAATCAGAGCAGACTGTGCTTGTCGGAAGGAGGGACTTTGTAGAAAACGAAGCGTTTGAGAGAGGCGGGGCATAGAGGACCTACAATAATATACAGTATTTGAAAAATTATGTGTTTTTTGAACATTAAAGCATGTCAACATATTCTGTTACACCAAATACACAAAATAATGATCTTTAAAAAAGCATCATATGACCCCTTTAACATATAATGATCCATTAATATATAACATGGATGGATGGATGGATGGATGGATAGATAGATAGATAGATGATAGATAGATAGATAGATAGATAGATCTACTTGTTGCAGATAGTGGCAATTATCTGCACCTCAGTATTGTAGTACATTATTATCCAGTAGGCCTATGCAATAATAACAATAACAATTGGAATTGCGAAAAAGTAAGACAGAATTCTGAGTACATTTTTAAAAAAATTATTTTTCTTGCAATTCTGAGAAGAAAAGTCTAAATTGTAAGGGAAAGAACCCTGTAAACATAGGACACAATGTACAATGTATTAAAATGAAAATAAATAAATAAATAAATAAATAAA